GCCAAAAAAAAGCGTGCATGATATATGTTATGATGCCAGCCGCTGCATGTTGTGACCACATTACATAAATCAAACTAAATTCTTTGAGCTGAACATAACACGTTAATGAGCATGAACACCAAACTCCACCACATGTGGAACAAACTTCCTTTGTGCTCCATTGGGCCGTCCTTGTACAGTAACAGGTGAGTGGCCCTGCAACCTGCAACCATCAAAGGTCGGACGAGCACAGGGCCTCACAGTGGACCGAACGCACCCAGAAAAGTTGGTGTGAACGTACCTGTGCACCCTCAACTGTAGTCACAAACGAGCAGGTCACAAAATATCCAACAACAGTAAAATAAAGTGTAAATATAAACGGAAAGTAAAGCTGTGTTTTGAGGCGTGGCTTTTATTGTAAGGATTAAAAGGCAGCTATAGAATGAAGCTAGCAACATATGAACGTCTGTATTAGATGTTTGTGAAAAAGAGCTGCTTTTTGGAGGGAAAACAAAAAAACACAGTGACACTGACAGAATAACAACTGATTCAAAATGCTCACAGTGGACTACATCCTATATTAATGTGTTCAAAATGCATCAATATGAGAACAACAGCAGGTAAAACAAACCTAAACTGTGGAGACGTCAATACGATGCTGTATGCTTTATTGTGCTTTAACACCTGGAGTCCCAGGCTTCTACCGTTCTACCTTTAAAAGCCGGAGAGCAGTCAAATGCTGGAAGTGGAAGATATGTATATTAGGTTGTTACCTAGGAATTCTGGAGGGAGGGGAGTGGGGGTGTGTGATTGAGGGGGTGGGGGAGCTGCTAAAAGCTGTGAACTTCCCTTTTGTGTTTCATCTTGATGCATTCTCAATCATCCAGGGAAATAAATCTCCAAAAGTCACCAACTTGGAGTGTTTCAGTTTGCCATCTTAGGGAGAAATCAACACATATGGGTGTATTTCCTTTGTTGCTGAGATTTATTGATAAAAACAGTACAAAAAACCAACCATTTGTACACATATTTACAAATAATAATAAAAAGTGAGTGAGTACATTTCAACATTTTCAGCAATCACTCACAATCCTGGCATCCATCACATCCATGCCACACTTTGTTTTGTTGTAAAGGGTGACAGTGTTTGGCTTCCTTTTGGTAGTGTTATCAGTCTGAACCACGCTGTGCATGCTGCTTGACCTTCCCATTGCTCACAATTTGAATTTGTTCACACTGCAGATGAGGAGACTGCTTCTCCACCGAAAAAGAGAGCTTGTTTGGGGACTGAGACAGCGAAAGATGGCACAGTGTGGCGTGAAGAACAGGTGGGGACCTGTCTCCCTTTCACCCCAATAGAAGCGTACGCTGCAGATGGAGAGCCAACGGCTAAGGCCAGGAGAAGTATCTCGAGTCGCCTTCAGAGCTTCCTGTGTTTCATCACTCTTGACATGCTTCATAGCATTCAAGAATGGACTATTCAACATGCACAGCAAACGGAGCATGTTCATTGGTTCATGGACCTCCCTGAACTAATGGCATTTATTGCAATTGTCATCTTGCGGGGGGTTTACAGGGTTCCATCTGTAAATGACTGCTGGTCAGCAAACCTGGGAAACCCACAGATAATTGGAACTATGGCACGAAACCGCTTCCAAGACATCATGCAACACCTACGCTTTGATGACAAGTCCACCCGCGTGATCGAGCAAAGACTGACAAGTTCGCTGCAATTTCCAGTGTGTGGGGATCATTTGTCACCAACTGCATCACGTGCTACAACCCTGGTCTACATATCACCGTTGATGAACAGCTTTTCCCATCAAAGACTCGGTGCGTTTCCTGCAGTATATTGCAAGTAAACCTGACAAGTTTGGGATCAAGTTTTGGGTGGCTTGCGACCTAAAATCCAAGTACATTTGCAATGTCTTCCCATATCTTGGCAAGGACCCCAATCGTCCCACTGGGGAGAGACTTTCTGAAAATGTAGTAATGAGGCTGATGGAACCATTCCTAGACAAGGGCAGAAATGTTACCACGGACAATTTTTTCACATCGCTTTCACTTGCGCAAAAACTTCTTAGACGGAAAACCTTCTATTGGGGTGAAAGGGAGACAGGTCCCCACCTGTTCTTCACGCCACACTGTGCCATCTTTCGCTGTCTCAGTCCCCAAACAAGCTCTCTTTTTCGGTGGAGAAGCAGTCTCCTCATCTGCAGTGTGAACAAATTCAAATTGTGAGCAATGGGAAGGTCAAGCAGCATGCACAGCGTGGTTCAGACTGATAACACTACCAAAAGGAAGCCAAACACTGTCACCCTTTACAACAAAACAAAGTGTGGCGTGGATGTGATGGATGCCAGGATTGTGAGTGATTGCTGAAAATGTTGTAATGTACTCACTCGCTTTTTATTATTATTTGTAAATATGTGTACAAATGGTTGGTTTTTTGTACTGTTTTTATCAATAAATCTCAGCAACAAAGGACATACACCCATGTGTGTTGATTTCTCCCTAAGATGGCAAACTGTAAGTTGAATTTAAGTTTTGGGGGTTTTTTTTTGATTAGTTAATAATTCAGTAAATCATGCGAAAGCAACTTCTCGCTTTGTATCTGTGAAAGGACCCACTCACTTCAAGGCAGTGAAAGGCCTTAAAAGCCACTTCTTCTTCTAACTACCCGTCATTACAGCACATTCATGAAAACATAAAAAACTCACTCAGTGACAATTTATACGAGTTTTTCCACATGTGTAAGTTTTCTCTCCTTATTCTAAGACTAATTTGAATCAAATCCATTACTGGATTGTAAAATATGACTACATAATTATTTTAGTTTATAAAAACTACAATATTTTGAACTTTGAAGTCACATCATTTGGGAAAAAAAGTAGTGTTTCGTGTGATGGTTACAAAATCCTGTGACCATTTACCATCATGTCCACTTGGATTTGGGTTTTAGCAGCAGCTTCTTAATCTTTCTTTAAAAAAAAGATTAATTACAACAAAACAGCTGTTAACAGAGTCATAAAGAAGGGCAGCTACTGACAACACTGTATATGAAGATAGTGTTAGCTACCTTACCATGTGCTGTGCTGCTGGATGCAGAAACATTAGTATCGGTAGATGCAGAGGTAGGAGCTCTGGTGGTGGTGGTGATGGTAGTATTAGGCAAAACTGATTAGATCAGATTGGATTATGTCAGTAACACAAAAGTATCTTGGATTCAACGACACATTAATGATGCATTATGAGAAATGTGAAACTTGCTCACTGAACAGGTTATTCTAACACAAACAACTGTTACCACTCACTGTTGAGGTCAAAGGTCGACTGCCAGAACAATAACTGGTACAGAAATATTCTATCTATGCTGTTTATCTAACACCACAAATACCACTGATTAAAGATTAAATGTTATGTAGTCACAGGAGAGGTAAACTTTTAATGTTAGGAATGACAAGGAATTGAGTCGTAGAATTCACCTGCATGGTTAGCAGATAAAGACTAAACTGTTGTTGTCCTGCTGGTAAGGCTGCATAAATCCTGTGAAGATTTTCTTCTTCATGTGACTGTCTGCAGATACAATAAGCTATGCGCCAACCTGAAGGAAGCCTATGATGAAACTTAGATGTGTAATTTTACTGGTATTTAATTTTCATGACTAGACTGGGAGGGGTACACCTGAAAAGGTGGCAAAATTATTTAGCCTGATGACATTTGGGAGATAAAAGTCCTCATATAACTTTCAAGTAACAATTTCTCTATGTACACACTGTGTATATGTGTTCTCTTGGAACCCATTGATTAGTCTTATGGATTAGCGTTTAGAGGTAACGGCCATTTTTGAGGCTTCCTGTTCAGCCTGTTTAATCGTAAACTCAATAGTTTAGGGGACACATTCATTTATTATTATCTTTGTTAGGTTTTGCACAGGAATCAAACATGAAAGCAGATGAAGCCTTACCAGAAGAGGAGGGGCTGGTTGCAGCGGAGGCGGTGGTACTGATGATAGAGGTTAGAGGCATGCGAGTGGAGAGAATGCTGGGAGATGGAGTGATGGTAGAGAGGACTGATGATGACAAATCAAAGGATAAGGCAGGACGAGAGGATGACACATGCAAAAACAAAGTGGTTTTAATGCTAGCGTGAGCGTGTGCTTTTTCCCAAAGCCCAGTTTGAGTGCAAATGTTCCAGAAGGTCTAAAACTCTCACATGCACATATTACAAACAGATATATATAATGTAAGCAGCACATATCGGTGCTTCATTAAAATTCCATTAAGAATGAAAAGTTCTTATTATCCTAATCAAACACAGAGAGCTGATTTTTCATAAATTCCTGGGAACGTTCATTTAGAGCTACAACTTTTCAGTTGGAAAAAGGACGACAGAAAGGTTAATTGACTAATGAAAAGTTTGATGAACTCCGTCTTCAAACGCAGCAGTAGATAATTTACTCGTCTGTCAAGCGGACGGGTTCATCAGAGCTGAATTAGTTGAGTATTCTCACAGGTAGTTAATGAATAAGAGAATGACCAAACTGATCTTAGAGGGGCAAAATAGCTTCAAGCTACTTTTCATGGCTTCCTGGAAGGTCAAATATGGCAGAGCTAAAAAGGTTTGAGATTTTTATGAGGGAAATCTCTCTGAAAACCATTAAGAATAACGGCTTTGTGGTGATGAACTATAACTGAGTTCCATAAAAAAGGTCTTTCTTTGTGGATGTTGGATGAACCCTAAAAAGTTTATCCTAAATTAGAGTTAGATGAAACAGAAGAAAAAAGGGGAAGCCTCTACAGAAAAGGTATTTGACTGAAAAATCCAGAAGCTTAAAACCAACCAAAAATGTTTAATAATCATTTTAAAAAAAGATGGTAGGAAGAAGGGAAAGTAGGGGGAGGAACTGCGAGGTGATGATAAAGCAAAAGCACTGAGGGGAACAAAAATGGCACAGGGAAGTGGAGAAGGTGAAGATGGAAAGGAAGGACAGAGGCTGCATGAAGAGGAGGGTTGCTTACCGTGGGTGTTGGCATTAGTAGTGTAGATGGTGTTAGTGGAGTCAGTGGATGAGGTGGCAGGAGAGGAAACAGCTGGTGGTAGTGACAATGTGATGGGATGAGAGAGAAACAGATGCAAAGGATGATAAATGGATGTGATGAGGAATGAACATCTTAAATGTACACAGTAGGGGTATTGGATCTGGGCTTCTCAAGTGTTCTCAGCATCGTTAATAAAGAATGCAAATTATTCAACAGTTATGTAGTCATAATGATAAAAGTTCTCTTTTTTCAATCAAAGCTGACTGTGTGGGTCTGTGTACCGCTTACAACATAATCACACTAACCAGCAGCAACCAACCAATAAGTGATGTGGATTTAACAGCTGAGACTGTGGCTGCTGTCAAAACTTACCACACAGTCCGGTTATTTATTTTTATTTTGTCCCGAGCTTCCTCTCCTGCCATCGTCAAGCTGACATACACAGCTCAGTCTCCAGAGTTTCTCCAAGCTCTTGTTGACCAAAGGGTTTAAAGCCATGAGACGGTTTACACAGATTAAGTTTGATTATGTCATGTGGAAAGGCTTGAGTCTAAGCATGGTCACAGATGAGGTTTTGAAACAATGAATTCTGTACCATCAAAGGGATTTCAGAGGTGGACTGAAACAAGAGGTGATAAAGTCTACTCATGAAAAGAAGTTTGTGCTTCAGAGTTAAAGTGAAGTCAAATGTGTTTGGGAAAAAAAAGACAATGCTGCTCACTCACTTGTGGATCCATTTAACTTCTTCCACCTACATCTCCCGAACAGAAGTCAGAGTTATGTTTTTCAGGACAGCTACACCTGAATTAGCTTCACCCACTGAAGCACACCCACTCAGGCCTTCTTCACTCCTCAGACCACCACCCTAACTTTCTAATAGCTCTACTCTTCAGCTGACCATTTATTCTTTGTTCCATCGAGCTTACGAGTTATTATATTATCACCCTTTCTAATGGCTTGTTGAGCTGTCTGTGCTCTTAATTTCTATCCTGCAACACAAACTGTAGTTTAATTGGCTTCACTTCCATGCTCTCATGGCGCAATCGCACAAAAACTGACCTTTAGAAATACAGTATGTCCCTCTGAGGCTTCCATAGTTCTGGACAGTGTGAGAACTGACATTTCACATTGGGTCAATTGGGTCACATTACTAGTTGGCCCACAGCTACTGTTCTGACCAGAGCTCACTGGTAAGTCTTGGATCATGTGACCTCTTTGAGCAAAAGAAACTGGTGGGGGTCCATTTTCCTCGAGGGCCACAATCTGTGCAGGGACAGCATTCCAGTTTTAATGGCTATGGCAGCAGCTGAACAGCACCCTGGGGGATATAGCTTTAAAAACGTTATTTTGTTTCTTCGGGTATGATCTACTTTGGAATTAGAAAATGTCATTAACCGAGCATTCCTGGATAGATTCTTGGCAGATCCACGTAGACTGGTGAGAGTAGGTGACATGGGCCAAATGCCTATTTTTATTCTTTCCTCCTTTATCAGCCACTTGAACTTATGAAGGCTGATTAAATGAATAAAGCAGAGTGAAGCATCTGTCTCCATTTCAAGAATGTCCTCATTTGAATGAATCTGACTGAGATTCCATTCCCTTTTGCTTTCTTTTCTTGTCCAGGCTCATTAATGTCACATATGAAGCCCAAAACCATAAATCAAAGGGTTTTGCAATCTGCACGACTTTCTCTTTTCTCATATGTTTGCTTTAAATAAGAAAACTGACCCAAAATTCATCTTCTTTTTGTGTATTCACCAAATCTTCAGTGTAAATGTTGGAAATTTTAATTTGTAACTGTTTTCTTCATGTCCCAACTAACAGTTATGCACCAGTCAGTAACAGAAGGACCTAACAGCAAACACAGATGTGATGATCAGGAGGTCACTGAGGGTTTTCTGGCAGAAAAGCTTTAGGAAGTACAATAAACCCTGGACAAAGGAGTCAAGCACAGGCGTTTGACCCGGGAGAACGAGGTTTGTATCACAAAAACTGTCAAAGTCAATGACAGCGTGAAGAAGTTCACAAGGTTTATTGCAGGTTTAGGTAAGGACAAGCTGTGCTCTTCAAATTATGCAGCGTTGGCTTCCAAATTCCAAAACTTTGACATCACCAGAATGTGACCGGCCTGCAGTATCATTAAATGCGGTTCTCTAGAAACACCACAAACAAAGTTGTTGATCACAATTATATTGATCTTCTCACCTCTTGCCAGATTCATCCTTGAACAAACTAGCATCTCTTCACTGTTCAGAGCAGTTTGACAGCACTGGGAATGCTTAAAGGCTAGAATATGTTCAGGGCTTTGGGGAAAGCCAAGGATCTCGATCCAAACCTGAGCCTGCTTTCATTTAGAAAGTTTTTCTTAACAGGATGTTCAAAATTCAATTAAGCGTCTTTCTCTTATGAGCACATTCCCACAAAACCTGACCCTTAGACACTTCTTCACAAGGTGGAAAGCAAAGCTTGACACAAAAAACCATCATAGTGTGAAGCTGAATAAGAAGTGTAGGCACCGATGCACTTGGTTTACCTTTATAAAAAGTTAATGTGGTCACTGAGGAAAACTTTTATATAGATGTCAAGGCTGTACGATGCCTTCTGTACTTCAACAGTTCAAAGTGTATACACTGCCAGGTTCAGCCCCAGCACTATAGCTCTTGTATATATCGCCTTCAAACACTCAAACTGTCATTTTTTCATGGTCAAAACTCTTTTCCCTTCTTACTTCCTCTGAGGTCCTTACAGCCCTTGCATTTTTCACCAAACTGTAACACAGTGTGAAGAGCTGACTAAGAACAGAGACTAATAGATATTTGACAGTTTTGACAGCACTAATGTCAGAGGGAAAAGACATCAATGCAACCAAGGACATGCGATGCAATGGCACAAACCCCATGTTTAAAGAACCCCATAATTTATTCTTGGTATCTGCCAATCAGCTGTTCTGAGCAAATACTTATCTGAAAAGGTTAATGTTGTGCTAGATTCACTTTTGTGTTCTTCACTTCTGTCTAAGCTCTAATGAACTTTGACTGGTGTGAGTGTGTCTGTCACTGTGATCGGGATTAAGCAACCAGATGTAACAGAAAAGGTAAAGTCAGTGACTCATTAAGACAAAATCTTACAGCTGATTTTGTTGTGAGACCTACGGAGACCTACCTGCAATAGTCTTTTACCATTTTTACTTTATAATAAAAATGATGTATGAAATTATGCAGACTCTGAAGCAATTTTGTGAAAAGATGTTTTCATTTAAAGGAAGAACTGATCAAAAATGTTTGTTGTCATTTGTGTTTGGGGAAGGCCTCGAAGGGGACTGGCAATGGCTCCCGGGCCTGGCAGATCCCCATACACTAAATAGAAATGAAGAAGTTAAAGAATTGAGAACAGGGAGGGAGGGTGGGGCACGTAAACAAGAATGAACAGCTTGCAGAACTGGGGGAACCTATATACAGTAGATGACAACCGGAAGGAGCGTATTTGGAAGCGTGGTCCTGCTCCTGAAATTCCGATACATAATCTCCAGTAGTTGGCGTTACCCAACATAATGATGTTATCTGTAACTCCATCAGTTCAAAATTTCTGTTAGAAGAACAGGGTATTTGTCTTTTTGTTTCTGGTTCTTTGGTCCAAGAAGAAGAGTATGCATGACCACAGACATTAATACATTATCGTTTGATAAACTTCGATTTAACAAACTAATTGAATTTACTTATTAAAGATTCCTGGCAAAACTTTTTTCTTTACAATGAAAATGCTCAAATGCTCAGTGCGAGTCTGGCCGTGAACATCACACACAACAAACAACAACAGAGGACATTCACGGGGGGAAAGCGGTCTCTTCAGCAATTGTGTCAAAGAGCGTGATCGTTTCGTACCTGGGCAGCCCAGCGCAGATGGGTCACAGTTATTATTGAGGGTTGCGTTGCTCACTGGGAAGACGCCTGGGAGGAGAGGAGGAAAGATTTTTAGTCTGATAAACACAATGAAATCTTTACACTGGTTAATGCTTAAAGATTTTTTTATTTTAGAAAAAATAATCGCAAAGTATAAAAATTTTTTTCAAAATAAAGTAAAAGAAATGAAAGAATATATATTATTCATATAATGATGTCATATTTTAAGCTCACATGTCAATCTTTACACCGTTACACTGATCACAGTCTGATGTTAGCATGTTTCTGCGTGACTTATATCGCCAACACCTCCTGTGTGTGTGTGTGTGTGTGTGTGTCTGAGAAAGGGTAGAAATCCACAAAAAGCAGGAAAAAAGCTCTCTGAAGATGGTGTCCTGTTTAACAGGTACAAATAAGTCTGGAGTCCGAGACGGTAAATGTGAGATCCTCCAGCACTAAGCTACTTTGCCTGGTTGGTACTTCAGCTCCATACCGCAGATGTAAAAAGTACTCTCAGGGTTGGAGTAACTCTGGCTTACTGTGTTTATGCCTGATACCAGTCTGACGCAGCAGACCTGGCTGCATCCGTCCGGCTCAGTTTTGGGTTTTTATACTAACAGTTATGTGATCAAGGTTCAACCCAAGTGCCTGAAGTGCTTATCCATTTCTGGCTTGTAATGAGCTGAAGCCTATCCCAGCATGCATTGGACATGAAGACATGGACACACTGAACAGAGTGCCAGACGAGTAACACAATCTTCTATTTCTCAAAGTGTTTGCTGCTTGTTTAAGAAAGTTTCCCACACCATTTTAATGGCGTGCAGATTTCTAATCAATCGGACTTTGTGGTCTGTGGTGGGTGCAGATTGGTTGCTTGCACAGATCAAGCCCTCAAAGTTATATTTCAGGGACAGTCTGTCTAACCAACTGTGTGCTTACTGCAGCCAAAAATCAAACGCTCCTCAAGTACTTTGGCCATTTGAAATGTAACCCCGAGCCTGGCTGCAGCCCACACATGCTGCATATTCACAGACCATTCAGCAGAGTGGGTGGACGGGCAGACGGAGAAAGCTGAGACTTTGTTTGAGAGGAATGTGTTCGAGAGATGTCAGCAAATCATCGCAGCATTCAGCCGAGTGAAAAAGCAGGAATTCAATAATCGTGGATAGCATGTGGATCAAAAGAGGTGAGGAGGGCTGAGGATTGTGCCCAGTCATAATCTACCTCCAGCTCTCTCCCTTCGTCCTCTTTTTTAACCTAACACTCTGACTGACTGTCACCTTCTCTTATGTCGCTTCGGTTTCTCTGTGCTGCCCTCGCTTTTACATTTTCTCCCCTTCCTGTTCTTTTCACAACCTCAGCACAACGAATCTCCCATTTTCTACTCCGTGTGCTTCTATTACCTCTTTTCTATTTTCCTCAGTGTACTGTAGCAGACAGATAATCCACGGGCTCTTTTTCACAGTACAGAAGTGAGAGGAAGAAAATGGGGGGAGATGGAGATTGGGCTCTTTAGGAACAGGATACCACAGCCCACTTATTGGTCTGGACTACTTTTGTTGGTTTGGACAAGTTAGCTCCAATGAAAGGAAACTTTACTTCACAGCAGTATTCCTCTAAACCAGCAGTTTTGCCAGTTTGGTGTTTGTCTGAACCAAGTCTGTTACCTCACCCCTTTTCAACACCTTTGGCAGAAACCGGACCGTGAGCCAGAACTTAAAGCCTAACTTCAGTCCTAGACCTCATCAAAGCTCAGGTTTGGGAGTCAGCAGACTAAACAAGTTAGTCTAGGTGCCCATGCATCCAAAAACATCAACCTCCTTTGGGAGGATGTCACACATATCAGTAGATCCTGATCAGATGCCTAAATCCCCTTACAGTAAAATGAAAATGAGCAGTTCTAGTTTGAGCTCCTCACCCTGTCTCCAAGACCAGCCTGATGACCCTAACAGAACCAAATCTCCCACAGACAGCAAAAACCCTGAAAACCTTAAGCTCATGACCCTCTCCAGTCAGGCTTCATGTTCACATGTCCACTGCCTATTTCAAGTATGCGAGTATCAGACAACTTTCGTTCATGAGCTGTACTTTAGCCGTCTCCGTTTTCCAGCTTTGTGTCGTATTGTACTCCGTCTCATTTTGCAGTTGTTCTTATGTGTTATGTGGCTGTGCTGTCTCCAGTGTCTGACTACCAACAACTGAACTGTGGATGTCAAACTCTGCTCATGCCACCCGCCATCTGTTTGGACTGCAAATTTTTGTTCATTCTTTTTTATTAAGATTTTAACTTCTTTCTTCACGGTGTTGGACCACAACAAGGAATCAGAACAGCAAACTCCCATGACGCCCATATAGGTGGCAAATCACGCAGCCACACCTTGCCCCATCCTGACATGATAGGATGGGGCAAGGTCTCACAGTGGCTTCACCCGTAAAACCCTAGTGATGGCAATGACCCACGCCTTTTATCCCACCTCGGCTCGTTATTTGATAATAGTGTGCCAACCACCACATGCGTTCTGTTTAGAACTTAAGCGTCATGGATCAAAGGTGGAACATCTTCACAAAAGTCCAGCAACTTTCTTTTTCCATCACGTGAATCTAAGAGAGAAGATAAAATCCTGGCTCCTCTGAGGTGTGCAAATGTTCTTCAGCACTAACTGTGCTGACAGTGATCGTGTCCATGTCCTATATTTTATTTTGACTTTTGCCTCTTGTTCTGTTTTCTGATTCTCCTCTTGTCTCTGTGCAGGATGTTGTGATTGGAGATTAAAAGCAGCATCGTACTGATAAGCAGGTATGCCGAGTCCGTTAACAGCACAAAGTGTTGGGCCAGAAAGAGTGGAGGCAGATGAAGAAAGTTGTCACTGGTAATGAGCTTGAATTTAACTTGCTAGACAACTAAATTGCTTTGCCATTATTGTCAAAATATATGACAGGAAAAAGCACGAAGAGATTCACAGTTATTTTTTCAGCGACGCTTAATCAATTGTCCACATGAAGCATATCTGAATTTGAGACAAACAAAAACACAAGCGATCTGTTCTCATAGCAGCTCAAAATGCAAATTTCCTTTCGTTGTCAGCAAAGGCGCTTATGTTCGCCCTGTATGGCTTCATCAGGGCGTCGCCGTGCTGACAGTAGCTCATGAACTGTAAGAGGACAGCGCACCATAACTCACTGTGATAAGTGGAAAACATGTTTATACTCGAGAGCTGTTTGTCCATATTTATGGGCGCCAGATGCGGTTAAAGTAATATTGTGCAGCATTTTCATATAAACCAGCAGTTGACACTTGTAATAACACTGTGGCATGTTAACCAATATTCAGCTCGTTGAAGCTTTTCCATGTGAGTGCCTGGCTGGATTTTACTTGGGAAAAAAAACCCATGTTCCTCTCTGAGCTGGCAAAGATGAACCGAGATTTAAATTCTCTCTCTGCGGTCTGGCAGGATGGCGGATGACTTCAAGGCACCCTGTAGAACAGCTCTCATATGAAGCCGTGTTTTGTTTCTGAATATTTCCCCAATGAATAAACATAGCTTTGCTTTTGCTTGTTCACAGGAACCATCCACACTGCACTTCTAAATTAATGTGCATTATTTTCAGGCCATAAAACATACGGTCCACTGTGTCAAATTAAAAGAAAACCACTCCGTGAATAAGTCCTTGTAGCAACACGATTAGCAGCTTGTAGGTGTCTGCCCCCCCCCCTCCCCCCCGGCATCAATAGGAGATGAAAGACAAGCTGACGCGCAAACACACACACATGCACATGCATGTACAATATAAACTGTATGAGCACATAGCCTCCATCACCACTGGCCTCATTAACAGACCAGAGAGCCACATAAACCTGGTTTGGCCAGCGGCTCTCTGCTAGGCTCATAAAAAAGGAAAGAGCCTTTTCAGGTAAACAAAATCAACAGCACTTTTCTCCGGGGAGACATAAACGAGTGTGAAGTGTACTTGGAACAAAAGCGTCCCCGCAGACATCATTAATACAAAATATTTAGTTTTAGTTTAACAGTCACCATTTTTATGCTTCAAAGGACAGATCATCCAGTTTTTGTTTCATTATAAAGTTTTTAGATAGATGGATGGATGGATGGATGGATGGATGGATGGATGGATAGGTAGGTAGATAGGTAGATAGATATCAGACATACATTTCTCCCACTTGATACACAGACTTTGTTTTTTTTTTGTCACTTGTTACTAGGATTTCTTGGATTTCTAGGATTGCAGCCTGGATTTAAAGGTTAGCTTTGGTATTTCCACTGCATCCTCCAAGTCTGCATTCTGGGTCCACCTTATCCATTTCTACACATGACAGAGATATCTTGTAGAAGTCGCTTAAGGTATGAAGTAGAGATGGTGATGGCAGTTTATTGCCTTTGAGTGTATTTCTTCATTGCTATTGTCACTGACAGTACAGCTAAAAAGTAGAAAAGAAAAGAAACACGGGAAAAACGCAGTTAAAAAAAAGGCAAAGCCAAAGATGACATCATCAAATGGTGATGAAAACCACACAAAATCAAACTCCACTGAAGCTCTGGCAGGTAAATCCAGCACTCTGTGTCCACCAGCACTGTCCACATACTAAAGGCTATATGAACCCTCCTCCTAAAGTGGAAGAAAACATGCTACAACACAAAAATATAATTCAGGGTGAACTGTTCATCTGAATAGGATGGGCACCAACAAACTGTACCCTCAGAAGTGAGCACACAGTCAGTGAAAACATCATTACAGAGGACCGTTTAGTTTTAGCAGCGTGTCTAAAAAACTGTTCGTTTGCTTACAGCTCAGCAAAGATGGTTGAGACTTTTTTTTCTTAATACCTTTAGCTCGTTAGCCAAACATGCAAATATTAGCATGAAGCCTGCGTGTTTAAGAGCTCTGCGACCTTCAGATGGGACCTCACATGTCTGCTCTGATCCTTTCCTGTGCATCTCCATCGGGCTCAGACTAAAACACAACAGTTCGCTCAGTTAATCCTTAAAGTGTGGCTGCTGATCAGAAACACTAACACTCCAATGCTCAGT